TTGAAACCTATGTTTTTCAATTTTATCATCCCATCGACATTAATCGTGTTCTCGAAAACGGTCGTTGGACTTTCAATAATCACCTTCTACTTTTGAAACATCTCCAAGAAGATGAAAACCCTATGAAAGTTGATCTGTTTGAAACGAGCCTCTGGGTACAAGTACACGAAGTCCCTGCTGGATTTCGCTCAGAACGAACTCTCATTCAGATTGGTAACTATATTGGCACTTATATTTTATCTGATCCCAAGAATTTTTTCGAAGGCTTGAAAATTTTCCTCAGAATCAAGGTCCTCATGGATGTAAGACTCCCATTGAAAAGGAGGATGAAACTTAAAAAACCAGGAGGTGAATGGATCTGGGTTCTCTTCAAGAATGAACGAGTGCCGACATTTTGTTTCATCTGTGGCAAAATTGAACACTCTGATTCGAATTGTGAGAAACTGTATGAAACCAATGGTGTAGAGGTTGAACGCCCTTATGGCCCTTTCCTCCGAGCTCCATCTCGAAATATTCCTGGCCTCACCGACGAGAGGTGGCTCCCAGGTTCGCTACTGGAAAGGTCAGATTCTAAAAATGGAAAGAGCGGAGCCTACAACGTGGAGGAGGAACTTTCCATGCAAGGTGGCAGAAATCAATCTTCAGCTAATAAAGGAAAAGGCGTGACTCAAGGGCTAATTCCAATCAATCCTATCCCTCATGCCTTGCCACCTTTGATGCCTAATATGAAGGAAAATCCATTATTTAAGGAAGGACCGGCTGGTGATTCTCAAAACCAAGAAAGTAACGACAATCTGGGCATTACCATAATGGATCAAAAGAGACGAAGGATGGACACCTTCCCGGGTGTGAACCTGAACAACCTGGCTATTGACTACGATCCTATGCACGAGGACCCAAAAAACGGAGCAACGGTGGGCTCTGCATTGCAGGCCCACCGAACACAATGAGTGTCCTTAGCTGGAACTGTCGTTGGCTGGGCAACCCAAGAGCGGTTCAGGTCCTTGTCGACCTTGTTTCTCAAAATAAGCCCAATTTTATCTTTCTTGTTGAAACTTTGGCTTGTAACCAAAAAATGTTATCTATTAAAAATAAATTAAATTACGACTGTTGCATTGTTGTTGATTGTATAGGCCGTAGTCGTGGTCTTGCCCTATTGTGGAAAAGGCAGGATATGGCCTCACTCATTAGCCTTTCCTGCTTTCACATTGACGTAGAAGTCACTTTATTCGGACAGCCGAAATGGTGCTTAACAAGCTATTATGGCAATCCGGATCGCAGTAAACGTCGTGAGAGTTGGGATCAATTGAGTCTGCTTGCATCATCATCTTCACTTCCATAGGTTTGTTTGGGTGACTTTAACGACCTCCTGTTCCAACACGAGAAAATGGGACAACATGAACATCCGACTTGGCTTCTCAATGGATTCAAGGAAACTATAGAAGATTGTCATCTTTGCGATCTTGGAATGGAAGGCTATCAATATACTTGGTTTAAAAGCAGGGGCTCGACGGGATGGGTTGAGGAAAGACTAGATCGGGCTTTTGCTACCTCCACATGGACTGGTTTTTTTTCAAAGTGCTCGTGTCCATAACCTAGGACAGTTTTCATCAGATCATGCTCCCATTTTCTTGCAACCAATAGCTCTAGATTCATCCTTACAGCGATTTAATCACCAAAAATTCCGTTTTGAAAACCTGTGGCTCCGTGAAGAAAACTGTAGGGAAGTAGTACGCTCAAGCTAGGAACGGACTGTGGGAGAATCAACTCTCAACCGTATTAAATTTTGTGGTGATGACCTTACTCGTTGGGGAGGTTCTGGTCTTCGGAATCCGACACCAGAATTAAAAATTGCAGACTTGCTATGAGTCGACTTCAAAGGAGAACGGATGCTGCCGGTATTCTGGAGTTTCGCACGGCCCAATCTGAGTATTTTAAAGCTTTACACCAAAAAGAAATATATTGGAAGCAAAGGTCTAGGAAGCTTTGGCTAAAAGAGGAAGATTCCAACACAAAATACTTCCATAAGGCAGCTTTATCCTGAAGAGGGTTGAATGAGATTCAGCGTCTCAAAGATAAAGATGGCAACTTGTACTCGGATAAAATGGCTATTCAAGGGATTATTTCTGAATACTTTCATGATATCTTCAAATCATCAGTTCAAAGTGATCAGCCAGGTTCTGTGGTTGATGATATAGATTGTCGTATATCTGATGCTTATCATCACTTGCTAGCAGCCCCTTTTACAGATCAAGAGATTCATCTTTGATATGCACCCCCATAAGGCTCCGAGGCCGGATGGCATGAACCCGGCTTTCTATCAAAACTTCTGGGTTGTTGTCGGTAAGGATGTTACTTCTTTGTGTTTACATTGCTTGAACACATGCACTTTCCCTACAGGTTCCAATGACACTTCTATTGTTCTTATCCCAAAGAAAGGCAATCCTGAGTTTGTGCAGGATTTTAGACCACTTTCGCTTTGCAATGTTATGTATAAAATAGTGGCTAAAACGCTTGCTAATCGCCTTAAGCTCATTTTACCGGATGTCATATCAGAGACGCAATGTGCATTTGTTCCTGGACGTTCAATAAATGATAATATTATGTTGGCATTTGAGGCCCTCCATCATATGAAGAAGAAAAATCGTGGCAAACACGGCATGGCTGCCCTCAAAATTGATATTAGCAAGGCATATGATCGGCTCGAATGGTGTTTTTTGAAGCAAGTGATGACCCGTATGGGCTTTCCCCAAAACTGGATTGAATTGATCATCTTATGTGTCTCTACGGTCAGGTATCATGTTACTCATGGGGGCATTGATATTGGACCCATTTTTCCGGAGCGGGGATTGCGTCAAGGCTGCCCTTTATCGCCATATTTATTCATTCTTTGTTCGGAAGGATTATCATCTCTTATTCGTTCAAAAGAGGTCTCAGGTGCTATCCATGGCTGTAAAATTGCAAGGACTGCCCCTCCTATTACTTATCTTTTCTTCGCGGATGATAGTTTGTTGTTTTTTCGAGCAAATACAAGGGAATGTGATGAAATTAAGGAGGTTCTATGCATATACGAAATAGAATCTAGCCAATCCGTCAACTATCAGAAATCTACTTTAAGCAACGATGTTGATCCTGTTAGGCAGATTGCTATTCGCTCTAATTTGGGTATCCAGGGGTTCCAAGGTCATGACAAATACCTTGGTTTGCCATCTATTATTGGAAGAAAGAAAAGAGAAGCGTTCTTTTTCATTAAAGATCGGGTTTGGCAATGAGTACAAGGATGGAAAGAGAAGTGCCTATCTAGAGCGGGAAAAGAGATCCTTATCAAGACTATCGCCCAAGCTGTCCCTAATTTCGTTATAAGTGTGTTCTTGATCCCTACTCAACTTTGTGAAGAACTCGAGAGAATCATGAACAAATTTTGGTGGCAATCTAATTAAGGGGGAAAAGAGGCATCAATTGAACTGCGTGGGATAAACTTTGCCTTCCAAAATCTAAAGGTGGCATGGGATTCAAGAAACTGCATGAAACTAATCTAGCTCTACTTGGGAAGATTAGTTGGAAGCTACTTGCACAGCCCACATCTTTGGTTGCTCGGATTTATAAGGCACGCTATTTTTCTACATCATCATTTTTGGAAGCTAACATTGGCTATAGGCCTAACAATATCTGGCGTAGTATAATTGCTGTTCAATCTGTTTTGAAAAATGGTTGTAGATTCCGAGTGGGAAATGGTTCATCGATTAGAATATGGCAAGACCCTTGGCTTCCTAACCCCAATCAAGGTTTTATAACTTCATAACCAAGACCTGGGAGAGAAGATACCACTGTGAATCAACTTTTCATAGCAGGTGAGAACAGTTGGGATTATAACCTTCTTGCTGATCTTTTCAACGAGGTAGATCGTGGCCAGATCACGAAAATCCCCTTAACAGCACATGGGAGAGAAGATCGAATGTACTGGATTCATGACAAAAAGGGCGTTTACACAGTCAGAAGTGGATATAAGTTGCTGATGGGGAATTCTTTCATACATTCTCATACTGCCATAGAGAGCTTTTGGAATAAATTTTGGAGATATAAAATTCCAGCGAAGGTTCGAAATTTACTCTGGAGGGCATTACGAAATGTTCTTCCAACAGTTGATCAGCTGAGGGCTAAATTTGTTTGATGCACGAAGAATCTGTTCTCCATGTTTTTGTCTCTTGTGAATTTGCCCAAAAAGTTTGGGAGGCAGTTGGAGTAGCCAGTTCATCTCTCTTGGTTACAAACTTCAAAGAATGGCTCATAGATATCCTTAAAAATCATCAACAAGAACAGAAGATTATCGCTACGATTTGTTGGGCCATCTGGATTAACCAAAATGAAACCGTTTGGAATGCTAAGTCGTTTACAGTGCTTAAAGTGGTGTCTTTTGCAAAAAATTTCCTCCAGCAATGGCGTGTTGCTAACCATTCTTTACCAAAAATCACAGCTAATTCCAGCAGACCGGAGAATGATAAGTGGAAACCACCTACTACGGGGTTCCTTTAAATTAAATATTGATGCAGCCATCTTTGAAAACCAAAGGAAGGCTGGACTCGGCCTTGTTATTAGGAACGATTTGGGGTCATTTATTGCTGCCAGAGTTGTTTCTGTACAAGGCATTGTTGATCCACTTTTAGCCGAGACTTTGGGGGTTCGCGAGGCCCTTTCTTGGATTAAAGCTAAATTTCCTGAGGTCCAAACCATTGAAATGGATGCCCTTTTGGTTTATAATGCTCTACTGAATGATGAAGAGGACAATTCTTACTTTGGTATTCTTATTGACGAGTGCCGTTTTCTTGCTAAAGAATTATCAAATCTCAAATTCAGCTGGGTTCGGAGATCGACTAACCAAGTAGCTCACACGCTTGCTAAGGCCGCTAGCTCATCACATGTTAATGTTGAATGGTCTTATTTTCCGCCTTTGTTTATTTCAAATGTACTGCTTGCCGATTTGATGAATGAATAACTTTATTTCCCTCAAAAAAAAAAATTCCTATTTTGATTAATTGGGGTGAATCTCAAAATCTCATGGATCTTTTGTTGGGACTATCAAATTATTCAAAATCCTGGTGAATTTTGGGATTTTTGGATGAAAATTAACACCAGACCAGGCCCAGGGGCAAGGGACGTGTGGAAAGATAGGAGATAGATTATGTAAAAGCAAAAATTTTGAGATAACAGAAATATTTTATTTGATAATAAAAATATTGAGTACAAAAAGAAAAGATATTAGAAATGAAATAATAGTTCATGTGAAAATGATCATCACGACTCATAAATCCACTATGTTACTTATTACAATATTGTTCACTTACAACATAAAATACGCAAAAGGCATCCATAGAAACCAATATATCTCCGCACTAATCTACTTGGTTGTCCACTGAATAAAACATGAAATTAAAACATGCAAAAACCAGCCTTTTCATAAAGGAATCTATTGTCATTTTCTGATTATCATTCTAGTTTATCTCATGGAAGAGTCTATTACAATATAAAATATGCAAAAGGTTTAACTCACAACTTGATCTATTGTTGTTATCATTCTAGTTTATCTCATGGAAGGATTGAACCATTACCTTCCTTTGTATTCTAAAGTTCAATTTCAGGGTACAATATGTTCATGGGGAGATTGATTACTGCGCCCAATTCAAAGAACATAAACTATGAGGAAGAGAAAATCAGAAGCTATTATGTACCTGTTAGGTCTAAATTATTTTCTTCGAATTCATTTTCAATCANTGTTCATGGGGAGATTGATTACGGCAACCAATTCAAAGAACATAAACTATGAGGAAGAGAAAATCACGAGCTATTATGTTCCTATGAATGTTATGAGTGAAAATGGAGCAGAAAGCAGAAAATCCCAACTTTAACATCAATTAATCCTTCACTAAATTAATCCCAAATAAACTAGCGATTTTTCCCATTTTATGTGGCGTGACATCTCCGGCGAAGAGAAGAACCGGGCTGATTTTTCTGAACCATTACCTTCCTTTGTATTCTAAAGTTCAATTTCAGGGTACAATATGTTCATGGGGAGATTGATTACGGCGACCAATTCAAAGAACATAAACTATGAGGAAGAGAAAATCAGAAGCTATTATGTTCCTGTTTGGTCTAAATTATTTTCTTCGAATTCATTTTCAATCACATATTTTATGAGTTCTACAATTTTTATCAATTTTTTAACCACACATTTAATCAACTTTATTAAAATTTACTAAAAAAATGATTTTTAGCAAAACCAAACAAGGGCTTATTATTCATCAGCGTTTTATGTTCTTCTAGTGCTGACAACCAATGTAAAAACTCTGCTGACTAACTTAAAACAGCATATGAAGTTTGGTAAATTTCTTAGAACAAATTAAAGAACAGTGATTAAATTGAAATGTGAGTACAAATCATTAAATTCCTGAAAATCACCAGCGGGACAGGACACTAGAAAGGATTCGGGCCTCCCTGTTAGCTTTTTGTTAATAAATTTCAGGACGATGATGTTTATCAATTTAAGTTTTATTTATAGATTTCGGTCAAAGATTGAAATATGAAATCAACACCATTGTTTGTAGCTCGATCCGAAAAACTAAGTGGGCCATTTGATGAAACATTTTAAGTAATAGTTCCTCAAGGCCCAATCACTAGATGGATGGCCCATTTATATGGATTAACTCATTTCTCCCCTTGTCCCATTTTGAGGTGCCTTAGTCATATGAAAATATCCTTATCTGCGTGGTTTTAGGTGCCTTGAGAGTATTCAATCTGTTTTCTATGCGTTTTTATATGAACAATGTAGGGGGAAATTTTGGACAAATGCCATCCAATTTCTTTAAAACATATTTTTTTGGATAAATTATATCACAACATCATTACGATGTCAATGCACTACGAATTAAAATATAGTTATACGTAGAGGAAAATTATTACAATGCTCATCACGTGGTAAATTATATAATGATATGTCAACAATAATTTTTTTTTTCTTACGTATAAGTCAGTATTGATAAATTTGATTTTCTATTATTCACTCGATATTATAAGATGGGTCATATTTACATTTAGAAAAAATCATATCACATGATACTATCAGAATGATAAAGTAAATTGCAAATTTGCAATGCTCCTATAATCACTCAATTGGAAGCAAATGGCTAGCTTTTCATCAATGCAAATGAGATTACCTCTAAGTATTTGTACAACATTTTAATATGTTATTGATATAAAATTAAATGAAAAAGTTAAGAGTAAATTGAAATGAGAAAGACAATCAAATCCATGAAATCAAATAATTATTTTTTGCTTAAGTTTCTTCTACATTTATTTTCATATAGCAAAATTAATAAAATTTTGAATTTGTAATCCTAAAACTTAGGGATCTATTTTGTGGTTCGATAAACTGTATGTTTAATTATCAATTAAAGTTCATCATTCTTTATTTTTCTTCTCAATGCGTTCATTAAGAAATACTAAATAAAATACTAAATTAAAATTTCTTTTACTATCGGGACTATTTTCGTTGTTTAGCATTCTGTCTTTTTTCAGTATTGATTTACATTTTGGGAAGGGATTCGATGCTCGGGGACCATGATATAGATA